TCTCTCTCTCTCAAATAAATAAATAAAATCTTAAAAAAAAATAAAGGGATTATTAAGCTCTATTTACTTGGACTTTCTCTGTATAGAAAAGGTTACTTTAAGAAAAAGAGAAGGGAACACTTTAAGAGCTTCAGCGAGGACATTTTGGCCTATTTTCAATATAAAAGTAAACAGACCAGAAATACACCCTCCATCCCCACTGGTACCCAAATGCTGAATTTATGGTAACTTACAAAAGCTTTGTAATCACACGATTGGAAGATGAGCTTTTCTGGGTGGTGTTGCCAGTATTGTACTGGGGTTGAGGCTGTTGCTTCATTTGGAGGTCGCAAGGTAATGGAAGGTTCTCCCCAGTCTCCTGTCTGAAAACGACATTTATTCTAGAGGTAATATGAGCAGTCGGCAAAGCTCATTCCCTACAGCTAGCCTGAGTTCATCTTATACATGGGTGCTGGAATGGGCAAATGCATTTGGGTGTATTATATGTGTAGAAATACTTCTACTGGTTATTACGGTTTTACATATGTGGTAGCATCGTATTTCCCAAAGCTGAGTTAATTTCTGGGGCGTGAAAGAAGTTATTCCATTTTTAGAAGGACACCCTAAACTAAGTGATTTTAAAATAAAACATGGAGATATTCATAAATGATGCACTAATTCATGATTTTCTGTTACAACAGAAAAAGAACATACGACCTTTGAAAGACTTCTGTTCTTAAGCTTGGTTATTTGAACTTTTTAGTCTGAATTGCTTTTACATTCAGAATACACAGTTCCATGAATTTCAGTTTCCAAATATGACATGTACCATGTACTTGGGATGATTTTAGATCTCTGGAGAAAAGACAGTGTAAGTGTGATTCTAAACAAAATTTTTGAAGAAAAATTTACGAATGGGTGGCTAGTTTCCCTCATCTGAATTCACTTGTATTGATAAAATGCCACATGACGGTCTTGGATGTGTTCAGCTACCTTTCTCAGGAAACCTTAAGCACAAATGAATAATAAACATTTAAATACCAAGTTTGGTCATACGTGCAATATGCATGTACTTGAGGATCTTAATTCACAAATACAAGCACATGCACATATGATGGCCTATCATTTAATGCATACGCCCACTAAGACAGACCTGAGACAGAAGGACATCCCATCCTTCCATCTATCATTTTCCATGAGGTTAGCCTCGACTAGTTTTATTACTATAATGGCTTAGTGTGAGCATCTATAAAGTCAAAGGCCGGTGTTGGCAGGTCTTTTCTGGGTTCTGGTCTGATTTAGATATTATACACGGGTGATTTCTCACTCTTTTCCCTGGAAAAGATTCTAATTTCTCGAAATTCAGTTCTTTGTTCTCAAATGGACATAAACAAAAACTAGACAACAGGCAGATTTCCAAAGCCACTCTCTTTTAATCTGGATTTGGCTGCTCTTGCAGAATTAACGAATTACCTTTCTCAGGAGTTGGAAGAATATAAATAGGTCTCACGAGCTCCCAAACCAAGTAAAACCTTGGTCAGAGACCAAGTTCTACAGAAGTACTAGCAAATGGGTTGATACTGTAGGGTTTCTTAAGGAGGATTTTCAAGGAATCTAGGATAAGAAAGCAAAATTTTGGATGTAGGTGTATGTTTTGGGGGAGAAAAAAGTCTACAGCTTTCATTAAATTCTTTGAAAGGATCAGAAACTCCAACAGCTTAAAAACCGCAAGTCTCCAGGAAGAGCTTAAACGGGACGTGTGTTCTGGGGAAGAGGACTAGCATTCCAATTCTCTCTGTGCAGTCTGGACTTACATTAGGTGGCACATGCCGCGGCTGCTAACGCTGGGAAGTGTTAGGCATAGGCTTTGCTTTCTGAAGTTTCTGTCTTTGAAAAACTAGAGGAAAACTCTATAGAGCCCCTCAGGACTGCACGGGCCTTTTCACTGAGGCAGAGAACCTGAAGCTCTTCTCTAGATGAGTCACTCCCAGACTCAGGTAGCGCAGTTAGTATCTTGCGAGCTCATTAGCTTCTCACTGGAGCACGTGACCTACCAGAGTCCCTCGAGCTCCTCACGCCCTAGTCTAAGCCACTCTCTGTGTTAGTTTTGTTCTAGTTGCTAATTTACTTGCATATGGTTTGGTTCTCTTATCTCCTGTCTGTTGAAATTGGTAAGACTTTACCTGGAATAATTACTTTAGCATTTTTGTCTGTCTTATGACCCATCCCTGACTCATTCTTGAGTTTTCTCTTTATAACTTTTATTTTGTAAAAAAAAAAGACTGTCTGCAATTAATTTTAGGAGAAAGTTTTCCTCTGGCTGCCTATTATGATCTTTTCTTTTCCTTCTCTTTCAAACACCTGGTCTGTATCATCTCTCAGTCTTTTAATTCAACTGGCTGTGATTTGCTCTTAAAAAAAAAAATTGTATGAAATTGAAAATGTAGAAAATGTGGATTTCAGTACTATTTTGAAGCTGATGTAATTTAAGCTGAATGTAATTTAAGTGATAATACCTATAGTTAAAACTCTGAAAACATGCAGCTAGGAGTTCTTAATTAAAAAGCTCTCCCCAAATCCAGCAAATCCTCTAGTCCGCCCCATTCACCTTCTTCCCCTCCCTCGATAAAGCAACAACAACACAGCAAACAGGTGTTGTACATTTAAGTCACGGGTGACACTGTTAACAGGACAACAGATGTTTGCACGCAACTCCGTGGGATGATACAAAAGGAGGAGTTGTTTGACGTTAAAAGACCTTTCGATCCAGTGTTTGCTGAGGTGACAACTGAGACCAAGCGTCAGAGCTTCGTGTTAGCCCTGTCTTAGTTTAGCTGAGGTATCTCTGGGCCAAGCTCAACAGGCAGCTCTCACAGCAGCCTGAACAGACATGGCAGGAGCTGGGGGCACCCTGGGTTGCGGTGCAAAGGCTGGGGGTAGGGCTGGGGGTGGGCGTGAGTGGGATGAAGCTGGGGTTATGGGGACATTTCAGGGGTCAGTACATTAAGCATGCAAATCATATGCAAACTCATTCCCTAATTGTTGAATTAACTCAGGCACTTTTATAATTAAACTTCGATGTGAGTTCCATACATGTAAAGCAGAACTACAGCCAAATGCTGATCCAAATATTCACATCATCCCCATAAGTTGTAGCAGCCATTTTGGGAAGAACAAGCCCCAGCACATACCACCTTGGTCTGGAAATCATTCCGGCCTCTTATTTGATAACCACTTGAAGAAACGCGTGGCACATCCATTTAACTCAGTTTAGGCAGCGCCATCATCTGCTCTTCTAGGACTCCACTCTGTCCAGAAATCACAAGCCTCCTGCTTTGAATTCAGTGATCGCACTGGGCCTCCCCTACGCGCTAGGTGGGAGGGGAGGAAAGTATAGGGAAGAGAAGTACAATCCTTCCTTTATGTTCTTTGTGGCCTTGAAACATGGCTCCAGTCCAAACATTTTTAAATTCTCTAGATAGGGACTGAATCTATCTTTCTGGAAATAGGAACTGAGTTTTGTCATATTTAGGGCCCATTTCCAGACGTTCATTTTCAAAGGAGGGCAAAGTGTTCTTAAGATTGAAGTTATAAAAAAATAAATGTATTTGCTTCCTAGAAATTCATCAGCTTATTCTTACTGTGTTTAACTTTAGACCAAAGAATATTTATATGACTCCACCTGCAGGTGTTGAGTCTTCTCTCTGGAGTTAGTTTTATGAGAATGGACAGGGGGAGGTACGACCTAGGTCTTAGGGTGGGTTATAGCTTCAACTGGTCCACCAACAGTAAAAACAAGAGTTGAGAGAATAAGGGTGCCTTAGGGCTCACCCATCCTGGAGGCTGGACTGCAGCAGGAAGGAACTACGGAGGAAGTGGGGAGGGCAGTGCACTGTAGGGACTGGTGAGAGCAACCAAAAGGTAAATTGGGGTTTCTATCTTAGCTATAAAATAACTCCAAACTGGGAGGCCCATCGTTAGGTCTTGTAAAATAGTACACTCTTATCGAGATGGCACCTGTATTTCCTCAGGCAAATTAATAAAATTAGTTCTCCAGGTAAATTAGCAAAGTTAATTTAATAATTTCCCAGTTTAAAAAAATTTTGTTAAATATGAAAAAATCAAACAGACCTCAAAAGTCTTTTGCCTCAAAGAATGGTTTATAGTTAAACCTTATCCTTAATAAACAGTAGATCTAAACATAGGTAACAGCGATGCAATTATATTTAAATAGAATAACAAAACAGGAAAAGGTTGGGGTAAAATTCTACTTTAAACTATTACTGACTGGCAGTACTCTTTAAAATGCTTAAGTAATTATAGAAGAGAAATTCAATGATTCAAGGCACTCTTATTAAATGTCTTCAGGCTACTTTTTTAGAGCATTTAAAATACTTAAACATTTTCTTTATGTTCATGTATTGAGTGATTTTAATATTCCAAGAATTTGGTCATGGCTTAAAACCTCATTTATGCGGTATGTATGTATGTATTTCCTTTAGGATATTATCAATGAAACAAAGGAAAATGGACATCATTAAGTATCCTTTCCAGCTCAAATAAAAATTAAACTTTGAATATAAAGAAATAATATAATTTGAGATTAGAGCTTTAAATGGAAAATTGATTCTGTTGAATAGGTATTTACCAACTGCCAACTCGGCATGCACAGTGTGGCCGAGTGTGAAGGGCTATGGTGGGGCCATACTTAATATGATGTAATTAAATCAAATGTCTTTTATCCCACCAGCTGAAAAGTATAAAACCACTAACTGAATTTAGTTATAGCCCAGGAAAAAATTCACAAAAGTCTACAGATAGGTTTTTACTGGATGGCAGAGTCTAAAATGCAGCTTTGCTTTATTCCAAAAGGTGCTAAAGCTGCATGACTTTTCATTCATATGCACCAGATACATAAGGCAAATGCAAAAACATCGTATTGCAGAGTTCTCTCCTCCAAACATGGAAATTGAAGATACTACATATTCTCTATGCTCTCTGTGCATATGAAGGGAACATCGTCTATATCCTTATTTTCTTCTTGAGAAAAACATTTCCTAAGGATGTCAGTAAATAATTAAAAGCCAGGATTATGACTTAGCTTCCTAACATGAACAGAAAGGTATGGTATTTTCCAAGCCTTGTATTAATTCTTTAGATTTTTTTAAAATTAGGATTTAATTGATTTTTTTAAATAGCAGCTTTTAAATCTTTTCTACTAGGAACTGTTTCCACCTACCTGCTTATAAATTTAGATCTGAATATTAATAAACATTATTCTCTATTTCTTCAGAACACTTAATGAAAAACGAAAATGATTTTAAATGACGATTGTTAGGTTAAGGCTTCACTTTCAAGAATTCTGACAAATATCGATCAGAGATGAGCTACCCAAACTTCCATAAGATGTATGTGATTACATTTATCTTCTGTTATCTCTGAGGCTTTGAAGAATGCTCCATAGAGCTCTACGCTTATAAATATGTAGGCATGGGTTTGGGTGTGAATGTAAGGAAGGGCCTCCTACAAACATTCACATACACACGGAAGCAGGATGCTACAGCAGGTCTTTAAAAAATCTTCCAGAATCAAGAATGCTAGTTTGGTCAAATGCAGCTGGTTATACTAAATTTGTTCCTTTGGATGATAAAGAGCAGAGATGGCCACTTCTGAACATGAAAAAGCACTGGTTAGCATTTACGGGTTCAGGAGGGACTGCTGGGTCACTAGAGCATCAGTACCAGGCAATGTACAGATCCCACGAGCCCAAGAGCCAGAAGTCCCATGCACAGGAGGGGTGTGCCTGACGTGGCACCCTGAAAGTAGGCCCTTCACATGCCGCCCCGAGAGCTCTCCTTAGTGATTCTCAACCAAATGCCTCAACCTCTCAGGCAGCAGGCTATCCGATGGGGAAAAATTTAACAGGATATGAAAATAGGATTGTATTTAAAATACAAAACAGAAAAGACCAAACATTAAAATGTCTACTTCCCAAACAAAAATGTTTTGTTTTTTTTTTTTTTAAGTGTGCAGAGGTAAGCTGTGAACATTTGAATATTACACAGCTCAGAGTAAAATGGGTCACGATTTCAAGCACATTCCAAAGATCAATTCAGTATTGTCCAGTGGAAAAAGGCTGAGAACCACTCTGTAGCTGTAACGATGCCGCTTCCGGCCATACCACTCCCACGCTCGCGTAAAATGGATACAGACTACCATGCAAATCGGACTCAAATATTTCTCACAAGTGAATGAAGCACATGAACCTTTGAGAACTTTTGGACAGGATGGGTTGACTAGCCCATGGACATGGGGAAGTACAAGATGGGGAAGAATAACACTGATATATACATGTGTATATATATATATATATCAATTTACCCTTTTCCTTCTTCCTGTAAAAGCAAGTTAACACAGACACCTGGGATGAAAGCCAAAACTCACATGAAACAGATTTTAACTGCAGACTTTAAAAACCAGGTATCTTTCTCATTTTAGGACAATGTTTGCACGTCAACTGGTCACAAGGCACAGTGAATGAAGTATCAGAGACAAGATCTCAGGAGTCATTAGACATCACAGATCGTCTGCATTGCCAGGACACAGTACCTGCAGCTACTGACAACACTTTGCAACACATTACATAGCACAAGTTCAGGAAAGAAAATAACCATTTGTAACCTTACATTATGAACCTGATGGATGGCTGAGAAAGGAAATCCAGCGTTCTGATTCGTCCATATCTCACAGACAGACGACTGCTGATATAAACAGAAAACTATCTCATCTTGTCAATATTTAGAACATGGCAGCTACCAAGGTAGCATCAAGGAGGGGAAGGAGGAAAATAATAAAAAGCAAAGAATCACATTTCTTAAACACACACACACACACACACACACACACACACACTCAAAAAATGTTTCAGGATGCCCAGGTTTAATAATTGGCTTCCAACTCATTCTTTTGCTTAAAAGCATTTTGGGTTGGCTGGGAAAGAAAAAAGACCATTTAGACATTAGTTTTATATCAAGGGAGATTACCAATAAATTCACATCTTGGAAAAAGCAAGCTGTGTTTTACATTTGCCAAAGACAACGGAAATACCTTCCCTCTTCACATCATTCATTTCAGAGGATAAATATTTTCATGGAGTTCAAGAAAGATGGGAAAAAGCCTTTAGGGCAGAATACATATTTTTGTTTTCTTATCTTCAATGACCAAAAGCAAACAATGCAATAAAATGACTTTCCTGACTTAGTCATTCCTCCATTTGATAAACCTAGAAGATCCTTCTCCCTCCAGAGTTCTCAAGGGCAGAACTGTGGTTGACAAGGGGGGAAGCATCATTTGGCCACTCGGCAGTGGAAGGGAGTGGCGGGGGAGGTGGCAGGAAGGAAACTAGGGCAGGGAGGGGTTGGGGTCAGGAAGCCAGGGTCTGTTACTGAAGCAGACACTTTGGGGAATAGCAGTGGGGAGCCTATAATGAGTCAGCTCAGCTCCATCATCCTGACTCTCCACCACACCATTAACAAGCTAAGAATTAACAATTATTAAAAGGCAATAATGTTTGCTTGCTTAGAACCAAATGCCAAGCTAACCCCCCCTCCTAGGAGTTACAGCAGAAACCACCAAATAAACCGAAGAGGTTCCTGGCTTGATCTTTATAGAGTTCTTTTCCTGAATTCCATCATTCTAAAAGACACCATGAAATTGAATCACAGAAAATGGCAGCATGCCTAAACTTACTCAGTAAGCACTGTGAACATCCCCAGAATTCACAAGCAGGCCGTACAAAGATCATGCAGGAAGGAGATAAGAACATAACCACAATATGGTTTAGAAGCCCGGCAAAGAACAATTGCATCAGCAAATGAATTATGGAAAAGAAACTTATCCCTGGCTAAATGTTTTCCCTACCTTCACCCTCCCAGAAACGTTCACCAGAAATTTAACATCTCTCTGTCCAGTGACGGTGGCATTCCCCCCTCTCCCCCAGACATCTTTGCTTTCCATCCCTTCTGTCATCTGGATGGCTTGCTGGGGACAGATTGTTAGGTAATTGGCATTCCCTTAAGGAAGTAAGATCCTTGGGGTCTGGCCGAAGGCAACTGCAACCACCTCCCACTTAAACCGGCTCTGCTACTCTCAGTTCCCTCCCTAGACTTCCTGGTATTCTCTCCACAGGGGATCTTCCTCTTCCTACCTTTCAAAAATTCAATCTCTAGCAAGTTAAGTCTTGTGCCCATTAAACCTCCAGCCTCGTCTACAATAGCTGCCACCTGATTTAAATATACCAACTCCATGCTTTGGTGGGATGACCATCTTAACTGGCACAAACAGACATGCGGGAGGATACCTTTCATATTTCCAGTACTCTCATCCACATTTCTGAGCTCATTCTTTCACAATTTTCACAGACTTTAAAAAAAAAAATTATTTATTTATCTGAGAGAGACAGAGAGAGGGAGAGTGGGGGGGCAGTGGGAGAGGGAGTGAAAATCTCAAGCAGACTCCCCACTGACTGCAGAGCCTGATGTGGGGCTCGATCTCACCAGCCTGAGACCACGACCTGAGCCGAAATCAAGAGTCGGCCACTTAAGCGACTGAGCCACCTAGGAGCCCCAACTTCCACAGACTCTTAATGCTAGAAGTAACCCAGGAACCACTTGTCATTTGACAGATGAAGACACTGACATTCAGAAAGGGTAAGTGGCTTGCTCAGGTGACACGGGAGTGTCACACGTGTCGGCCTGTTGGGATGGCTGGGAAGGGGTGTCAGCACGGTACTGACCTCACGGGAAGGCAAAGGAGGCAAAGGCAGGCTCCAGTTACATGGAACTGGTTTTACCGACCCTGGAACAAGTGTACATGTAAGTGGTAAGTTCAAGGAACAGTCTCAACTCCACTAGGCGTCAAATACCCGAAAGGTTTATTGTTTTCCACTCGTTACTCCCAAAAGGGCCAGCCCCATCTCCCCTCCCTGATGGGCACCAGGCCACTTGACACTTGGGGCAGACCTTGTAACTTCCTGGTCACTCTGAGTCACTAAGAATCCATCTTGTAAAAAAACCCCAGTATCATCTGATTCAGACCTTGCCCTCCCCACAAGCCAGGCTTGAGGCTTAAAAATCCCATGGTGGTTACAAGACGCTTGATTTGTACTCGGTCCTCTTCGCCTTCCTTCTTCCACTAGGAGTAGGGAGGAGTAGGGTGGTATGGTCAATCGTGGATATCCCCCACCCCAAGCTCTACCTCCTTCATGCCCTTTGTTGGAGAGGGGAGCACAGGAGAAGGACAAAGGCCTCTTTTCTTATCCGGCTATGGCTGAATTCTCTGACAGCTTGCACTGCTTCCTAGAGTAATGCTCCACCGGAGTAATGGCCTCCGGTGTCCTCTTGTAGGGAGTGCAACCATCCTGCCCCACACAGGTTCTACTGCGTTTCTGTGTGAGATCTTTGGAGGGCTCTGTAGGGATGGATGGGGTCCCCACTGCACAGTTCCTGATGTGAGAAATATGTCCCAAGCCTGACTTCCTCCAACCTCTACTCAGCCCTCCTAGAGCCCATGCTCACCCGTTGGACAGGACACAGGGGAGAGGGTATAACCCAGACTCCTCCTGCACACCCACCCACATCACACATACATACAGCCTGGCTGTGCAGGGTAGGCTGCTCTGTGACCACTCCCCTCTCTGCCAGGACATGTCCCTCCAGTTCTCTCTTCTTCAGCTCAGGTTGGTGCATCTGCCTATCAGAAGTCTGACTGTGGAATGAGATGCCCGTTTCCCCTTCTGGCAGGTTCCCCCACTCTGCATGAGACTTCCTCTTAGAGCTCTTCCAGAGTAGGCTCTAAGTGCATGGGGACACCTCTCTCTTCTCCCATGTGCTCTCCTCAGTGGCTCAGACAGTTCTCTGCCCTTCCCCAACACCAGTCTTCTGCCTGTCCACACAGGCAGCTGATGGCGCCTGGTTTCACCACCTCCTGGTCAATCCTGAACAGGGTAGCTGACTCCATTATTGGCAACTTTCTCTTGAGAATACTCTGTACTTAGTTCCTACAGGAAATTTCCCACTTAATGTCTTGTTACATGAATCTTATCTTCCAACAGTCAGAGAAAGTTACCAGAGAGTTAAGGAGGGAAGAGAGGGTCTCGTACATCACTTAGTTTATTTTTTTAAATCTGCATAAAATTTTTCTCAATGAAGAAAAAAACTCTACCTCTAGTCACATACACTGAAGAGAGTTTGTATGTGGCTTATATACATTTGAAAGATGTTACAATAACTATTTTCATTTATAAGCTGTGTCTTAAACTTAGAAAACAATAACACTTCTATAAGTTCCAACAATTAATTGACTCAATGCAAAGGGTAAAAAGTCAGATTTTTAAAAAAGAGTTGAAAATAAAGGCAGTTGTGTTTTAGTTGTGGAGGTTGTTGAAGAAAATGCTGATACATTTCAGATACCACAGTAATTCTTTTGGCAGTAAATAATTTATCAGGCTCAAAGAGCAGTTACTCTAGGTGGATTAGCTGTAACTGGTGTCTTCATAAGATAAAATGGCTCTTCTAGGCACATGGTTATTAGACTGAGTACTGGAATGAGGTTTTTTTTTTAATGCAAAAGAGTTTCCATCACAGAATTTCATTATATTTATGAAGATAATATTTCACGGTACAACTTGTATTGAAGTGCTGAGTTCTGAACAGTTCTGAGAAAGAAAATACTGGTGATAAGATTTCATCGGGAGCCCAAATTCCTAGAATGGTAGTGATTTAAATCTAAGTTTTAATTAAGCTTTAGAATGTCCTCATCTGTAAAGAATAATAATAGTACTTGACCTACTTATTTTGTCAGGTTGTTCTGCAGCTCATGTTAAGCTTCATGAGAGAGGGAACTTTTTCACAGCTAAATTTCTAGCACCTCGAACACAAAAGGCCATCAAGCATGTTTACTGAATCAATGGAACAGTAGAATGTGTTCAAAGTTTCTTGACAAAGAGTAAAGCACGACAGGAACATTAATTACTACTATTCATTATCATTTGTAGTTGGTCTGCTTTGTTATCGCCACGTGTGCTTTTAGTCAGTGATGTCACTGCTGACACATTTCTGGTAAAGGCACCAGAAATTAACCTTGCAGACTTCTTGTTAGAATGATTCTCATTTTTTCCTGATAAAGGTTGACAAAGGGCTGCTCACTTTGTTGAAGAGAGAAGGAACATTTGTAATTAGTATACCTATGTGTTAAAGGGCTCCTTGTACAGAGCCTGGAAACAATTCTATAAAAGGATGTTAAATATCCCTCTGCAAATTTCATTTGCTTATTTCTCAGGCTAACTTAGTTTATCTGAACCTGAATTACCATGAAATCCAAATAAATGGGGATTAAGGAAAGATATAGTCTTATAACCAAGATATAGTCAATAACTGAATGTGGATTTCTTTGATGAAGCAAAGGCATATCATGTTATCTTTAGTTCAGACCTCTCTCCTGACTCTGGAAATGTTTTCTTAAAATACAACACATATCTTGTTCTTGTCACCATCATGTACCTCAGGTTACCAGGAATTCAGTTCAGAAAATACAACACATCTGCATTCCAATCTAATGACAAAATGTAAAGCATAGTACTTATATCTTCAAGGTTTTCTTTCTAAAGGTAGGCTTCTTTTCTGCTCAACTGGTAGCATTCCAGTAGTTTATGATATATTCTCTCTTCTTCCTCATCCATTTTCCCCCTCTTTACTGGAGCATT